TGCACCTAGCACAGTGGAGCTACCGTATTGGGAACGGACATCTAGGTGCTTCTGGGGTACCAGTATAATGAAGACAGCTGGCTTCAAAGAGACAGCGTTTAACTGGGGGTGCAGGGAGAGTGTATTGTTTCTGGGATCTCAAGTGAAAACAGTGTTCAGTCTCCTCAGTAATGGACGGGTAAATATACCATAAGCAGAACCGGCTTATGTTGTGCTAGGCAGGCTGGAGGACGAATGCCAAGAGTGTTATCTGCAGTGGCACTGCACCTAGGTTGGCTGTCTGGTGCAAATGAGTAAAATATATTTCATACACTGTCGGCTTCTATGCTGCCTGCAGCCTGGAGGTCTGTTTGAATTCCCATCTGCAGCCTGCACACCTGCTGCCTGCCTAGGTACATCCATGGGCGACGATCTCTAGGCACTCCTCACCATAGTCTCTGGAGCCCCAGAAAGTGCTTTGATCAATCATGCAGGAGTGGTTGTCCGGCTCCTGGGTGGTGTGGGCGCTCCCTGGATGGAGAGCTAATTTGTGCCAGGTGATGGCTCCCAGCAGTCTGCAGCTGCTTAGTTTTCTTCCTTGGTTCTGGGGTATTTATCCATGCCGTGACTCTGACCTGTCTGATACTCCCCTCTGGAGTAAATAGATAGTTTTATTTGGTGGGGGGTTTTGTTCAAAGATATTTATATAGGAAGCTTCCTCCCCCACCCTGGATGCTCAGTCTACACACAGCACTGGGCATTGGTATAACTACATGTCTCGGGTGTGAAAAATCCACAACCTGAGAGACGTAGCTATGCTGCCCTGACCCCAGTGTAGACATTGCTAGGTCGATGGGAGAAGCTACCACCTCTCAGGGAGGTGGATTAACTGTGCTGACAAGAGAACCTCTCCCATTGGTGTCGGTAGTGTCTACACGGAAGCGCTCCAGCAGTGCAGCTGTGCCATGGTAGCAGTTTCAGTGCAGGTATACCTGAAGATGGAGAAGTGCGTGTGTGGCTCTGGTTATGCCCGTCATAACTGTGTAGATGAGCATAAGCGTGACATGGGATGGAGAGGCTGAGGTTTGCATTATCCTTTTCTTCATGACTCTACAGGTACTTGCATTTTAAAGTCCTTGAAAGGAATCCAAAAATACCTGGGGTGCAATTGTTTAAACCTTCCCCCATCCCTACCCCGCTTGGTTTGCAAAGCCCCCTCCATTCGATCAGTCCTGCTTTCTTTGCTCCTCTTTCATCCTGCAGGTAGGCTCTGTGCTACTTATCCCCGGAGCCTGCGAGGCCCATCCTAGATTTACTGCTGTTGAGCGTTAAGAAATATGCTGCTGTCCATTTAAGAGTTCGTTTGGAATGTCTTGCTGAAAAAAAAAAAAGAGAGAGAGAGAAAGAGAGAGCCACAGAGAGGCTGAAATTAGAGAGATTACCAGGAGCAACTTCCTTTGGATGAGGTTATGCTTTTAATTAACCTAGGAGTCTGCTGGGGAAAGCTCCAAGTTCTAAAAACATAGCCATAGTGGCTTGAAAACTTCATGAGAAACCAAGGCAGCAAGGGTCACCCCGTCTTGATGGGCGTTTCAAGGCTGGTTAGAGTTCGGATGCAGTGTAGTTGTAGCTGCGTCAGTCCCAGTATATTAGAGAGACCAGGTGCGAGTGGTAATATCTTTTATTGGACCAACTTCTGCTGGGAGAGGCAAGCTTTCAAGCCACAGAGAGCTCTTCTTTGGTGTGGGCCACTTCAGGTCGGGGTGGGTTGTGAAAATCGGTTTCTCATTGTTCAATGGCCAGTGCCACTCAGTTTGCATGTAGCAGACCAGTGAGGTGTTGGAAATCTTTGCAAGGGCTGAGGTGGAATGGAGCACTGGCCTGAAATCCAATTACCAGCCACGTGGTACCAGGGCCAGACCTAAGGGTAGTTTCTCTTGCTCTACCTGGTTTGATTAGAAGGGAGAGGAGAAAAGAAAAGGAAGCTTGAGGCTATGTAAGCCCAAAGAGCTCTTGCTTTGCTTTTCCAGTAAGCCTTTTCTGTCTCAGCAGCACACGTCTAGATGGGGTCTCCTCAAAGATAAAGGTTGTAAGTCTTAACTATAACTCTGCCTCTTCCTTTGTGATGAAGTTTTGCACTATATCCGAGCAGTCTTTTTAGAGAGCTCTTAGAATGGGTGATCCATTCCATTGCACGTGTTTCCTGCTTTGTGTATATGGGGCGTGTGCACAGCTGTGATATAAACCTGGAGGTCTGTCAAAGTGTTTGGGCTGTCTTACGAGCCAGTCCTGAGTGGATATGGCATTGGGGCAATTGGGAGAGATGTCTGGAGCTGATATTCTGCTTTTCTGTGGGCAGGAATGGTGTCCCTAGCCTCTGTTTGCCAGAAGCTGGGAATGAGCGACGGGATTGATCACTAGATGATTACCTGTCTGTTCATTCCCTTAGGGGCACCTGGCATTGGCCACTGTTGGAAGACAGGATCCTGGGCTAGATGGACCTTTGGTCTGACCCAGTAGGGCCATTCTTATGTTCTTAAATGAAACTCTGTTCTGGCCATGAAGCTGGGGTGAAAGATGAGCCTTATGAAAGAGATGTACTTGGGAGTGAGGTTTTGGGATTCTCTTCTCAGCTCTGCCATTAACATATTTTGTCTTTGGGCAGATAATGAAAGATCTGTGCTTGGATTTACACATCTATATAATGGACATATAAAATGTGTTAGAAACCCAACCATCACCTTGGCCTTACCCACCTGTTAGAAGGGGGAAGTTGCAGAGATTTCTACCAGATGGTTGTCTCTGGACCCTGCAGGAAAATTATTCTGGATATTTCTCACTGCTTTCCAAAGGGTTTGGAATGGCAGCTGTGAAACTGACCAGAATCTCATGTTAATTTCACTTTGTGGCACCTATGGGCAGTTGCAGAAGCTCTGGCTCTGAGCAGTGAGGAAGGCAATACTGATCTGGTTCACATTTGGAAGGAAGATTCTTTGTAACCACAAGGGCTAGACATTACGCTGTTTTGCATTAGAGCTTAAATCTTGTAGGAATGGGGTCTGAGGCTCCAGTAGGGAAAGCTCTTGAGTATGTTTGGATTTTTTCAAGCCAAGTATAGTAATTGGTGCTTTGCATAAATAGATAAGCAGGTAATGACTTCAGTGAGGCAAACATTAGAACTCAATGATTGAAGAAGTAAATGTTGACCATTTGCTTCAGTATCTATTGGGGCAAATTTTGATTTTCATTAAATTTGTAGACAGATATTTGGATGCTAGAAATGAAAATCTGATGCTGATGCTCTAATTCTCTCCCTTCCCTGAGGTATGCAACCCCACAATTAACAGAAACATGAGTTTCCACGTATTGAAGTGTCACAAGCTCCTTCCCCTTTGTGAGAAAAGAAAAAACAGGAGTGCTGTTTGTAGCTGTCCTGTGGCCATGGTAGAAGAGGGTTTGAGGTTCTCTGTGCTGCAGCCTTAAGGGAAGTGGGCAGGGTTACTTATTTCCCTTGTTTGCTTTGGCAACAATGTGCGCTAATCTGGGAAGTCCATGCATGTTTAGTTACAAATTCTCTGGATATTTTGATAGGAAGTACCTGGAAATCTTTGTTTGTCCATTGCTTTAAATACGATGTTAGAATTTTAGCTTAAAGTAAATTAAAAAAATTAACAAGGCTGTGGAGTTAAAGGTACAGAGAAGAGAAACTTCTCACCTCTGAGCAAGTCAAAAAGTAGAGATTTACCTAATGAGTGATGTTCCATGAGCCCCCTTTCTCCCAGTCATGGACCAGTGTAGAACTGTCATGTATCTGTGTTGGAAGGAACACTTAAAAGCATCTCTGCAAGCCTGGAACGGCAGAGTGGGGGATACAGGTTGGAGGTGAGGTAGCTAGTTCTAATGATCTGTCACTGCCTCAAGCACCAAACTTGCCAAAAAAACTGTGGGCTGTCTGTACAACAGGTTATCCGAATGTAGTACACCGCCGACCTGGGTATGCATTAATCCCTTTTACGACTTATCTACCTGATGCTGTGGAACGTGCCAATGCGCTTTGTGCCAATGGCTGGTGTTCCCCTGTATGGCAGATTGAACTTCTGCCTGTTGGGTTTGCAGTGGGTTACTAATTGATCATTACAGTGCAAGTACCGACCTGGTGAAGTGTAGCTGCACCGCGGTTAGGTAGTCTCTGGGATCAGCCCTTTCCCGTGTCCTCTCACAAGCTGGCTGTGGAGGACATATGACACTTAGCCATTCTCTTGCCTGCAAGACACAGGAGATTTAAGCATTCCAGTGCCTGCCTTTGTAGTATCTGTATTTAAATATATTCTAAAGCCTGGGAATTCTCAGTAATGAAATCTTAACGAGAAGTGTCAAGAACATCATGGTACTTCAATAGGAGGCAGGAACAGCCTGGTTTTACTTGCAGAAAATGACTCCAGGAGTGCACTCAGTGAGTTGACTCTAATAATTCGGCATTTCAGGAATCCACAGCTCAAGACCACACAGTTTACAATACGTACTATGGGATTGTAACATACCCTACAGTATAGTGACTCTGAGTGGGAAGGAAGGACTAATTTATAACTCTGAGAACTGACACCCTGAACTGGTTCTTAAAAGAAGGAGCATTGGTTATGTTCTACAAAAAAGAGACTCCGTTATCAGCAGTAAGAAATGAGGCCCAAAGTCAAGTTATCCTCGGTAGCAGAGCTTTCAGCTCCTCAGAACTGGTGGCTTGTGCTAGGAGCAGTACAGGAGTTAGTTCTTGATGCCCAAGGAGAATTCAGGAACCATTTTTCTGTTTGTAAATGGTACGGGTAGCACCTGTGATCGGGGCCCTATTATGCTAGACACATGGGAGGGGACATACTTACCCACGAGAGCTTGAGCCAAAATCTCTTGAGATGCAGCTCAGTGCTATAACCACATGCTCATCCTTTCCACAGCCAGCCACCTGATTATTTCTACAAGTGAGCCGTGAATACCCACACTAACCAGCTCTTTTATTCTCCCTTCAGGTTGTTCGGCCTGTAAAAATTGCACCTGGACACAGTCCTCTTGGCAGCTGGAATTTCCCACGCTGGATGGTATAGCGCCCGCGGCAAGCCCCCCGAGAGGAAACATGGCCCACTAGCGTTTCCCAGGACAGGGCAAGGTTTCAGGATGGCAGCCCAGAGGATTCGTGCTGCCAACTCCAGTGGCCTCCCGCGCTGCAAGTCCGAGGGGACGCTGATCGACCTCGGCGAAGGGTTTTCGGAAACCAGCTTTAGTGACGTCAAAGGTGAGCAGGATTTTGCAGCATTTGATATTTGTATTACAGTAGCAGGTGGCCCTGACTAAGACTAGCGTCCCATGGCATTTGGCTGTGTATGCACATATAATAAGACATACGAAGGGGGCACGGGGAGAAAGGAATGGCGGTAAACTGACTCTTCAGGTGGGAAATGAAGGGGTGAAGTGACGTGCTCAAGGTCCCACAAGGAGTCTGTGGCAGAACTAGGAATTGAACCTCAATCTTCTGAGTCCCTGTTTAGTCCCTTAACCAGCACCGACCGCTTTCCCCTGCAGTTTGATTTTCCTAATCTTCTAGTTTAAAATATCTCCTCCTTAGGGGGGTCAAAGTTTTGAGGGGGTTTTGTAAACACTTAGAAAGACCTGGGATCTTCCACAGCTGACTGGAGCACTCCGTGTCAAGGCAGTTTGGATTCAAGGGCTGTGTGAACACAAACCCTAACCGGTATGGTGGAAGCAAGTGAAAATAGACTAGGCTCCTGATTGATTTCCATTGTCCTCTCCTGAAAGGGACACTTTCAACTAATTTGTTACAATTGTGTTTAGTTCATTATCTAACAAATATTGATTTGCGAGTGGCAGGAAAGTAGGTTGTGCAGTTTGCCTCTTCACCCAGAGCACAGTCAGCCTGTGGAACTCATTGCCAGGGGATGTTGGAAGGCTGAAAGTATAACTGGGTTCAAAATAGAATGAGAAGTTCATGGAGGATAGGTCTACCAATGGCTATTAGCCAAGATGTTCAGAGACACAGCCCCATGCTCTGGGTGTCCCTGGCCTTTGACCGCCAGAAGCTGGGACTGAACGACAGAGGATGGATCACTCGAAATTGCCCAGTTCTATTCGCTCCCTCTGAAGCACCTAGCACCGGCCACAGTGGGAAGACAGGATACTGGACTAGACCCAGTATGGTCATTTGTATGTTCTTTGGAGGCAGGGGGTTGGCCTGGTACAAATGGAACTGAAATAAACATGGCTTTTGTTTAGCAATGGTGACTTACGATCTTGCTTAGGTGCTCCTTCTCCTTCAGTAGATTGGCTCTGTTTCTTGTCAATCAGAGGACAGGCATTCCAGCCCTCTTCTCGTTTCGCTCACTGGAAGCAAGTGGCTGCAGAATAACTCTTGTGTTCTAGTTAGGGGGATAGCTGGATGGAGGGAGAAGATGTATCCTTGGCTATGCGGTTGAGCTGGTCTCCCCTCCCTGGCCTGTGGGGCCCGTTACACGAAATGACAGAGCCATCCTCTGGCTCCAGGCTGCCCCTCACGCAGGCGGAAGGACAGTGATGGGCCTTCCATTGCGGCACTAACCACAGGCCTCATACGCGTCCCCTCCTGCCTGGAACGCATCAGTTTTATCTTGCAACAAATGAACTGGTTAGTGAATAATCAAAAACGAGAACGGAACCCACTACCGAGGTGAGTAGGGGGAGGATCAGAAATTGGAAATGGATTGTCAGCCAAAGCGATGGCTGTCTTTGGGATTGTGCAGATGGTGGTAACACACAAACGCCTCAGCATCTTTGGAGAAAACCAGTCACCTTTGGGTCTCCCAGCCCAGCGTAAAGCATCAAGTGGGGACCAACTGAAACATGTCCCATCAGCAGAATAAACCATCTCCATTTTCCCCACTCGGCATCTGTGGGAGATGTGGCCCTTTTCCAGGCTCTAATAATTATCTCTGTTTCCACCGGATACTAGTGGCAAAGGTCCTTGTGACTCATCAGCTGCTGCTTACGCAGATGGCTTGGTGTTTTCTTCTAGACCAGCTTGCTGACCCAGTTCTTTGTCAGCTTCATACCCTGAGTACTGTGAAGCTGAGGCGGCCCATATAGCTGCGGGGGACAGAAGAGGAAAAATAACCAGAAAAGTTTGGGTGTTCTCTTGGCAGCCGTATACAGAGGACAAAGAAATGCTCTTTTCCCATCTTTCCTTAATCCATTTCTTCCTTCCCTTTCCCCACATGCCCTTTGAAAATCACAAGTCCTAATGGCAGGCTGCACTTCAGCGATCGAGTAGGCCTGGCATGAGTCTTGATGCTATAAAACAATGCAGACTCTTTAGCGCGCACATAACATTGGCAGTATTGCCAACCTCAAGCATTCAAAAATCATGAGTCAGGCCACACACAATCATGAGATTTCAAAAGAGAACTCCCCTCCTCCTCACATATTATTTTTTATAGCTTCTGAGTCTTTAGGGTGTCCTTGAACTGTATTTTCATGCATTTTACTGCAATCATAAAGGGTAGGAACTTATCTTTTTTCTAAAATGAAAGATGAGATTTTCCCCCCAATTGCATGACTTTGGGACTTTAAAATGATCTCTCGTGAGATTTATGATGAGATCATAAGAGTTGGCAACGCTGACAGTTTGCCCGATGAAGGAATGTAAAGGGTTATTTACGTTATTTCGAATAAGGTAGGGTATGAATGTAAAGCACTTTAGCTTTACTCCCCATGTGGACACCCTTATTCCAGAGCAGTTATTCTGTACTAGCTATGCCAGTCAATTTCCCTGTGTATGCAAGCCCTAAGACTGGGTCCAGCCTGGCCAAACTTCAGGGCAGCCTTTACTGTGGGAATACCTGAATCATTAGCACTTTAGCTCTGTAATTGAGACCCCAGTGCTGACCTGCGGAGTAACCATGCAATGCTGATTTCTTTGGAACTTGCTCTTTACTCGCTTTAGGTTCCTAGTGTGAGGTTTACTTGTTTCCCCTCCCCTTCCCTCCTTGAGCATAAGTGTGCACACCTCCCCGAAGTGAAGAACCTCACCTTTCTCCCGTATGATGTACTGAACAGTGCGTAAGGTTAACCTGCTTGTTTGTTGGCTGGAGACTGACTGACTGCTTCCTTGCTTTCCTTGTTTCATCATTCTTAGGCTGAACCCTAGAATGGCATTAACCGTTCCCTACCACTTGTTTACATGAAAGTGCTTCCATTGATGTATTTAATTTATGAACAGACAATTTATCTTAAAGGTGTGGCAGCTTCAAACCTTTTTGCAATTCCTCCGATTCCATTAAGGTGGGAAAGGGTAGAGAGTAGCTAATGTCCGACTAGGAAAGGTATACACCATCGACGTGGCTTCTTTAACTTTTCCTCACACAGAAGCAGGGAATGTTTGAGAGCTTTTCCCAAGGAGAACCAGGTGTTGGGGTTTCTTCTTTCCCCAGTGAAGTGCAGTCTAAGAAAATGGAATGGAATGGATGTTTGGATACTTTTTAAAATAATCTCATTGTACCCAGGGTAGTTCAGTACTCAAGGCCAGATAATCTCGCCACTGCTTTGTCTAAATGAGCCGTGAGAAATAATTTCAGTTACAATGAGGCAAATGCTGGCAAATGATAGGTGAAGTTAAAAGCAACAACAAAACCCCCCATTGGTGGCTTTGTTTCAAGAGTAGCCGAATGTAGAATTGAATATGGTAGGTTAAGTCCATTAATGGCTATTAGCCAGGAGGGTAAGGAATGGTGTCCCTAGACTCTGCCTGTCAGAGGGTGGAGATGGCTGGCAGGAGAGAGATCACTTGATTATTACCTGTTAGGTTCACTCCCTCTGGGGCATGCCACTGTCGGCAGACAGGATACTGGGCTAGATGGACCTTTGGTCTGACCCAGTACGGCCGTTCTTATGTTCTTACGTAATATCAAAAGTTTGTTTGTTTGTTTGTTTGTTTGTTTGTTTGTTTGTTTGTTTGTT